AAACCCATGCTTCTCTGTGAACTTGGGCACCTTCAGCGGGGTCTTCAGACGCCCAACGAGCAGACGCTCCGCGTGCAGCTTGACAGCCACAGGGATGACCTCGTTCACCAGGGTTTTGTTCCAATCCGCGGTCAGTACTTCATCCTTCCTGCACTCTGGCTCTTTTCCCATGAAGTCGGGTTTCTTTTCTCCGGCTTTGCTGCAGTACTTACTTGCGTCGCTCAGGTCCTCCATCGACGCCACGATGCGGATGGGCTCCCACTCCTTGCCCTCGCCCGCTGCGGCGACGGTGTACGCCTGCGTCGCGCCCTCTCCCTTGCGCGGCACCTCACGCACCATCGCGGTCGGCAGCGGACCGCTCCTCATCGCCGCCTCGTCGAGCGCACGGCGGTGTGCAGCGGCGAGGCACCCACCGACGCAGCACGTCGTCGCGAGGAGCAGCAGTCCGCGCACCGCCAGTAGAAGTAACGGCGTGGGGCAGCATGGCTGTCGCATTTTCTTCTCTCGCCTTCATTGTTGAAAGTATTGTGCGTTTTAGATGCTGTTGTTGTGTGCTTGCTTTTTATGCGTCGCTAGAAATAAGAAATAAGAAGCAAGAAGCGAATACAGTTGAAAGAAGTCGATAACAGCACCTCAGAAAAATCATGGCGTCAATCAGGCGCCTTCGGCAGAGATTATGGGTGTGTTGCATTTTTTTTGAAGTATAAAAGTGATAGTTGTTGTTGCTGTGGGAGTGCGCGTTGGAGGCAGAATGTGTTGGGCCGAGTGCGAGGTGAAAGTACAGCTGCGGTGAGACCCCGAGACGCCAGAAACAGGGAGACGAACGGAGCGCGCCGTTGCCTCGTGATTGTTGCAGCGCCCGACGCCACTCTTATTGTTTTCATGTGCCTATCGTGGGTGGAGGGTGGCGCAGAGGGCGTTTCCACGCCTTGTCTGCGCGCAGACTGTGGAGCCCATAAACGCCACTGAGGTGAAGGGGTCTTTGCCTAGTTGCTGATGCGCCGCCGCGTTTAGTTGAAGCTCGTTTCGTTGCCCTTGGCACGGCACTATCGCGATGGAGCCCTTTTCCACCCCCGTGCTTACCACAAAGCGGCCCTCCGGAGACACGTCGCACCGCAGAGATCGGGAGTGCGTGAGCGTTCCGCCACCACCGTTGCGCCCGGCAGGCGAAGCATGAGGCGGGAAACTGTCTCGCTTCGCAGCACCCCCCTGCCTCCGCCGCACGCTCCTCAATCCGGCCTCCAACGCGCCAATGGAAGTCAGGATGCTTGTGCCACCTGTGTCCACCATCCCGATCGCCCCAAAGTTCGCGCGGCAGTGCCTCATGTCGCTTATGGGATAAGAGGTGGGACTGGAGAGGCTGCCGGCAACGACGGCCTTCCACGCTTCCTCCGCTGCTGAACGTCGTCCACGCTTCCTCGCCGCGTGGGACGCCGTCACGGCCCTGCGCAAGTCCGTCACAACAACCGTGCCGCAAGGGTCACCCAGGCCACAGACAACGCGGAAGCTGTCCTCCAAGGCGCAGCATGACATAATGCCCGCGCGTGGAGGAGTCGCCCCATATCGTCCCCGAGCCGTTCGGCATGTCGAGGTTGTCTGGGGAGTATATGTACTCAACAGTGGGCCTCCGCTCGGATCACGCCAGTCCAGGAGAGAAACTTCTCCGGAGGAAAAACCAACCACAACGGAGTGTGGTCCCCAGCAATCCATCGACGTCGCGTTGATGACGGTGCTGCCAAAACTAAAGAAGTTGGTCCTCTCCAAGGGGTCCAACTGGAGCTGGTACACGGCGTCATGCGAGAGAACGGATACTGTGGGTTCAACGTCGCCGTGACGTCGCAGCCGCAGCAGCGGCTCACAGTTTTCATCTGGCAGCAGCGGTGTTGAGTGAACACAGCGCCAGGAACTCGTGTGCAAATAGAGCGGCAGGCGTTGTTGCGATGAGCCTTCTTCTCCCACCTCCTCGCAACTCGAACCCTGCACATCCGCCGATGAGACAAGACGCAACTGTGCCGCGTGCGCATTCGTGTGAGGTGAGACAGAGCACGACGTAAACGGCCGCGCCTCCCGCAGTTCTGCCCGCTCCTCCTCGAGGTGCAACGCTAAGAGCCTTCCACCAGGCACAAGGGAGGCCTCAAGGAGGCAGACGTCACTGCATTGACCACTGCCGTGGTCCACGTCGAGCAGGAGGGAAGCCGTACCGCAGTAGGGACGTGCCAAGGCGCGCCTCCCCCTTTCGGCGTCCGCGTTAGAGCGCGCTGTTGTCGGCAGGTCGCGTAGGGCACACTGGAGACGCCACATCTTCGCTTCCGCCACTAACAGCTACCCGCCCGAGGTGAGGGAAGATTACAAAAACAAAGCAAAGGGGGAAAAAAATATGATTACACACATACAAAGAGAGAAATATATATACGCACCCATATATATATATATATAATAGAAAAGCAGTGGGTAACAGGATGAGCGAGAGACGAAAACCCATTGCTACTCGCAATAGAACCCAACGCGTGGAACTCTCAGCAACGCCCAAGGCAGCAGCAGCAACAGCACCGTCCCCATCACGAAAACAACGAGACACACTCGCATAAAAACGTAAGAACAAACAACAACAACACCAAAAGAAACGTTACACATACACACAGGACTCCTTGCCAAAGAAAAAAAAGGAAAGAACGCGAAAGTCAACATCATTCTTACTGAGCCCATGAGGGCCAAAAATGTCAAACTTCACAAGAAAAATGATAAGACATCTTTTCTTCCGCTTCTTCTTTTTTCGTCCTTATAATGTATAATTAAATAATTGTATGTAGGGATTTACCTGAGGAAGGCGAAGGTGCGTCCTGGTTGCAAAATGGGCCATGCCTACGTCAGAACCGTGATGCCTCGAGGTTTATTGGCGTCATCATTTCGTACCATTGGACTTCGCGACCGCATTTTTTTTTCTTCTCCTCCGGACTCACGGGAGCAGATTTTCTCACCGTGGGGCCTCTTCTTACCCTACCGTTGCCACTGCTCCCACCCTCGTACTCCTCGACCCACGTACGAATGTCGCTTAAGTGGATGGAGAGGATGTACATGTCCAGCAGCTCCTCCGTGCGCCGCGGGGCGAACCGCTTGGCAAGACGCAGCACCGCCTCTCGTAGGCGTTCGCGGCTGTTGGTGCGGGGGGTGACATCCTCGTACTCCTCCGTAACCCAAAAGACACGTGGAACAAATCTCCGTGTGTCAAGGGAAACACGGCCAGCCACAAAGTCGTAAAGAAGAAGATCCTTGTGGACGGTGTCAAACACCGTCAAGACGGTGTTAATGAACTGCTCCTCGGATATCACACGGCCATACTTTGACTCCCGGCGGACCTGGGCGGACTTGCACCGCGGGCTCTTTTGCCGCAGGGTTGTGCCAATCTCACTCTCCAGCCGCATGGCACCATGGGCAACTGAGAGGAAGAACTCCATTGTCTGCTGGGAGAGACTGAAACCTAGACGTTCCTCCTGCGCCAAGATATCGCCACAGTTTCTAATGCCATACACGCTCTTTAAAAGCTCAACCTGTGCCTTGCCCATGACAGGGACATCGCTAAGGGGAATGTTCGCTACAAATTCCTTCACCGCCTCGTGAGTTGGAAGGTCATAGTGCCTGCTACACAAAATGCCTCCCGACACAACGGCCTTTGGATCCTGCGGGTTCTGCTTTTGGCTCGCCTCACAAGCCATTTTGGCAAGAACAGGCGTGGATGACATGCCACACCACGCCCCGATGTGAAGCTCCTCCGCCATGACGCGACTCAGCATGTGTGCCACATCCTCCATCGATTTGAACTCGGTGGGTGAGCGCTGCATGATGGGAGTCACCTCCAAAGACACCTCCAGCGGCCAACGCTTATCCAGGATGATGAAGCGTGTAAACGTTCGAAGTTTCTCTTTGATGCGCTGAAAGTGATCCTGTGTGATGCCCGTCGCGGCGGCGCCCTCCTGTTTGGCGCCGCCCAACGTAAAGAAGCGAAAGTGCAAAACCATTCCTAGGGGCTGAATGCTGTACCGGTATTTCATCCGCAGCAGGCGACGCGTCACATCCTTTTGCTTCCGATGGGGCGAGAACACAATCGTTTTGTCCTTCGCCACGATGTTGGCGACAACGTCGGCCGGAATGGTCTCCATCGAGTGCAACGGCAGTGTCAGCTTCTTCAAGTCTACCGGCTCAAGCTCCACATCGAGGGCCTGCCTTTCGCGCGCCTCCTCCTCCTCCGCCCCCGCCTCCCGCTTCGTCGTCATCCAGGCGGCCACCAAATCTGCGTCCTGCGTTGTCCGCTGAAGTCGCGGACGCGTACGGCCCACGACGCAGAAACGCGTGGCGCCCGTGAGACACGACGACTGCAGCACGCCCCGCCGAAGTGCTCGGCACGGCGACAGGAGTCTCCGACTTCCCCCCAACGCCACCGCGAGGGAAGGGCCGTAACGGGCGCAGGACGTAAATAGCATCCCAGGGGCACACGCACCACTGCAGCGGCGGACCCCGGAGACCGAGCGGAAGAGGCAAACCACAACCAAGCAAAGCAAATAAAAAGAAAAAGAAGGAAGACAGAAACAACAGCTCAATGCAAAGAATACGGAAGAAACACAAAAGAAATGGGTGCTCCGCGCCTCGCACACGCAGAGGGAGAGAGAGAGAGAGAGAAGAACCCAAAAAAGGCCAATACTTGTTTATGTATGCAGATGTATGCCTTCCTGTCGTAGTTGGACGCATTGGAGGCGCAGTCAAGTTTCCCACGGGCTCCTCAAGACCAAGGCAGCAACAAGAAGATGGAAGAGATGAAACCTCCGACGCTGCAAGTTATTTCGTGTCCCCACAAATCCTTTCCAAAAGCACAACACTGAGCGTATAGCGTCAAGAAGATGCAATGGGCATTGCAAAAGAAAAGGCCTTAACCGTCAACAGCCCCAGTCGCGGCAAGTAATGGAGGCAAAGGTATAAACATCACGTCAGAGGTAACTCTCAGAAGGGGAGAGAACTTACAATGAACGTACAAAGAAGCTTACGAAGAACTCCACCGCATAACTGGCGGAAGAACTCGGCAGCAAAGAACACCCAGACAAAATATCGCGGCAAGGGGGAGGGGGGCGCTACGTCCCCTCCCTCAGCTGACCTTAGAAGAAGCAGAAGCAGAAGCACACCCAGCAAGCAAAAGCTGTCGCCAAGCGGGTAGTAAAATGAAGTGTGCGTCGGTGTGTGAGCAAAAGTGACAGGGACGGGAAGAGAAATTTGCACGGTAGACTCTCATAACGTCCTGTTTCGAGAGCATCATTCACAGATTAAGTCCGTCGGCGCGTGGGAAGAGCATGCCTAGATGGAGATCAGGACCCGCCTCATCTGCCTCGCTGGAGACCTCAGCACGCGTGCACTCCGGATCCTTTTTAGATGCTGTTCAGCCGAAAGCCCGCGAGCGTTGGTCCGTGCAGGGGAACCTCCACTCGCGCCATCTTGTATGCACCGCCGTTCAGAGGTCGAGTTCAGCTTCCCTAGACGCACACCCACCAGACGAAAGTCGTCAAAAGAAGCAAGGTAGGGCTGGAGGAGGTCACACGTCGCCCTCCACAGGGTGGCAAAATCATTCGTAGCCTGCGCCAAGGTCGTCCCATACTGGTGATCCTCAAAGGAGCGTCGCTTCAGGTGTAGCATGACGTGTTGAGTCGCCTCGCGCCGACAAAGCAGGGTGGTATGCGCCGTCACAAGCGCCTTGTGCACGACTTGCTTCAACTCCGCCTCGCTTTTTAAACGACGCCTGAAGGTGGTTTCGTGACCAATGGTTTTTTGTGTCCTGTCGTTTCGCAGGCGGTCGGCGTGGCTCTTCATCACCCCAAGTCCCACCGAAAGATAGAAGCGGAAAGTTTTCGCCGGAAACAGGAAACAGAGCTTCTCTCTTTGCCTCCACAGTGAGCCACAGCTCCGGATACCAAGCACGCCTAGGGCAGCCTCCTGCACAGGGCCAATCCCAGGCACGGTCCGCACCGGCAGGTTCTTCATGAAGTCCATAACATCCGCTCGCGTCCGCAGCTGCAGTTCGTGCTGGCCGTTCGGTTTCTTGTAGTTGCTCGCAATCTTTGACAGCGTCGCCGTCGGGCCTATCCCCGCACTGGCAGTCAGCCGCGTCTCCGCGAACACGCGCGCGCGGAACTCGGACGCAACATCCGCCGCAGTCATGCCAGGGTGGGCCCGCAGGTACGCCGTCACCTCCATCGTCAGCTCGTCAAGGCCCACGCTGGTGAAGTTGGGGTCGTAGTCGGCCGCAATGCCCCGCACCACGGCGCTCTCCGCGTGGTACGCATCAAAGTCTGTTGGCACGATAACGAGCGACGGGCACAGCTTCCTGCCAATGTACCCCGGCATCCCGGAGCGCACGCCGTACCGCCGCGCCACGTAGTTGGTTGTGG